ATGTTTGACTATTAAACTAGGAATATATCATTTTGACACGCTAGATCAAATTGCTACCTCATTTGTCCCAACCTGAAACCTCAAAAGGGAGATGGCTAATGTCAGACCCATTCTTAACCTGTTCAAACACCTGAACTAATGAAATTAAGCCTAATATACCCAAAAAGCCCATAAAACCACATTTAAAAGTTTATTAAATTTAGATTTTCTACTAATGACAGCCCCAAATACATGACTGTCATGACAAGAACATCCCAAGCTCTCATTGAAAACCACCCCCAAATCAAAGTTGATTGATTACCATTTTTTTTTTTTTTGAAAACTCCTTGCCCATTCTCTTGTAAAAGCTTTCTTGAAGCCCAAACCTTGTGATTGGATGAATTTCATAACTTCCCCCTTCCTTTCTCTATAAATATTGATCCAACTTTATCTCAAGAGAGAGGAGAAAGTGAGAAGGAGAGAGAACCTTGGGGATGAAGAAAGAGAAAAAACAAAGGAGATATCCAAGAAATATTCCCAATTCCCGTAGGTGCCCTGTTCATGAGAAAACCCCTAAGCATTTGAACCCGAAATTCCAAATTCATTCTACTGTATTTTAGACTTGAAATTTGCACAAAACCTCTAAGCATTCAATAGTTTCAAACCACTTTTGAGTTCATCCAACCACTCTTTTGTTTAATTCGGCTACTAGAAAACTTCTGTCAAGGTTGTACACGAGAGGGAAGTCTCTCCTTTTAACATTTGAACCTGAATTTGTAATCTCTGTTCTCAGTTTAGTTCTAAGTTGCTTGGAGTCCAAAAACCATAGAAAACTTGCATTCCCGATCTCATTTAGATTAAGAAAAAGAGGTTGAGAGGCAAGGGTCTTAGGGAAATTAATACCTAAGATCCGATAACATCACCTCAAATCAATTTTGGGTAAAGTCGGGAGCATTTTTGCTTGATTTAAACAATTCTCGTTTTGGGCTGCTATAGAAGCTTGGAGAGAGGGGTGCCTAACACCTTCCCTCTCCCAATCCTTAGAATCCAAAATCTCTTGATTAGGTGCATTTCCTATCGAAGAATGGAGTTACTATCAAAGCAAGTAAATCGATTTTCGAATCTAAAAATGAGTGCCCATTTCCTCTAAAAAATGGGTGGCTACTCCATTTCTTTGAGCCGACCATGAGCTTTCCAAAGCTCACTCCAATCCTGGAAGGCCCATCACTCCTAGTTTTTTAATTTGATGGGTAGTGATTCCATCTATTCGGTCATGAAGCGAACAACCGATTTTTTTCGACGTTCACATGAGTATTTTGTCAAGAGATCTTTACTTCTTGATAGACTCTAGATTGTTAATTCCATTTCCAAGGGGGGAGCCTAGAATGTCCATTCCCCTATATGGGAGAATCCCGTTATGACCAAACAAACGGTTCCATTTTGATTCTTATTCCAAGCACCTATTCCAAGGAACCAAATGAGCCCTAAATGTATGAAAATCTCATCATGAATCCCTTGGTTTCCATACTCCAAGTTGGTACATTAGCCGGTTTGTCCCAATAAAAATGTGGGTTCGATTCCTGCAACCACCGACTCTGGAGAGGGGGTTGTTCATTATGGTGTTGCATTATTCAAATGACCAAAATGCCAAAAAAAAAACATCTCTTGCGTTTTTTTCTACATTTCTTTTTCCACTTCCATTCAGCCATTGCACATGTGCATCCATATAAACTAAGGCTTTTGAAATTCACCCAAAAAACTCAAGCACTTTTTCTCGTCTAAGTGGTAGGTCTACAGTTCATGGGTCAAGCGAAGTTAACCATGAATCCATGATATCACAAATTAAATTATAAAAACTATCAAAATAAACAAAATAGAGAAAATGTAAAAAAGTTGGACAGGTCTTTAATATTATATATTGAGCATATTAAATAAGAGAAGTGTGATAAATGCAAAACGAGAGAGAGAGAGAGAGGGAACTTTAGGCTGCATTTTGAAAGAGTGTAAAGCCTGGCTCAGTGCATATATGCACTCTGATTCAGTGTTGCTATTGTTTGGCAACAATGCATTTATGTGTTGGCAATGACAAAAAGCATAATTTCAAGGCATTTTACACCCAAAATGAGAGGTAATTTTACATCAAAAGAAAGGAAGTGATCAATGTTAAATTGTGTTTACGTCCATTGCAACTAAAAAATGGTTTGACAAGAAAGTAAATTTATCAATGCAAAACTAAACCAATTTTGCATTTGTATGGACCAAAATGCACTCTGTATATTTGCATTTTTACTTTATCTGCAATGGGTGTGTTGTCCAATGACTCTATGCCTTGGTCATGGTTGTGGAGAATAGGAATGGCAATGGGGTAAGGATCATATTCCCCATCCTTGACCCCGATTTTGAAAATAATTCCCGTCCCTGACCTCGATCCCCATTGGGGATAAAAGTTATCTTCCATCCATGATCCAGAAGATGGGTTTCTCGTGGGGACCCAAATCTCTTAAAATTTTAATTAACAATATTTTTTTGAAAAAATAGATTTATTTAAAATAAAGAAAAATTTAGGACATAAATAATATTATATTTGATATATAATATAAATAATATCATATATATAATATATTTAATATGAGTAATATTTAATAAATATATAATCAAGGCCGGGGCAGGGCAGGGATGTCATTCCCCATATTAATATCATCCACATCCTCGCCCCACCAAAGCCATCATCGTCTCCATCGGAGTTGAGGAGGGTGGATAGAGCTGTAAAGTGGGTCATGTCTAATAATGTGATTGATGAGGTTGACAAAACTACATAGGGACTTTATCTTGTTGACAAACTACATATTGAACCATCTATTCCTCTTGCTAGTTGGAATATGCAAGGCCTGGAGGCCCTTTGGGTCAAGAATCTTAGATGGTTCAATAAGGCTTGCCAAGGTAAGCTTGGATGGAAACTTTTGACTGAACAGGATAACCTTTGCTAGTAAGTATCTTAATAAGAAGAAGAATTTCTGGGAGGTTAAAGAAAAAAGCGGAATCTCTTAGGCTTAGACTTATCTAACTGTGATCTTATTAAGATTAGTTCTGGCTGGAATATTTGGCAATGGTAGGAGTGTCTTATTTCTGGATAGATATTTGGGCAGAAAATACCCTGATTATGGATAATGTTAATCCTGATCAGATGAACAATAAGGACCTTTTAGTTTGCAAAGTTATGGACAATGCAATATATGGAAGGAAAATCTGATGGTAACTTTTCAGTTAAGTCGACATATAATATGGAAAGTGGTATTATTGGCACCATCTTTTCAAAAATCCTTAACAGAGTCTGGAATATTAAGGTGATCATATCTTCAACAACTGTGTATGTTGAGCAAATCTAGTTGGCGGTGGAGGCTAATTTGGCTGGGCATAGGGATGAGGATGATGGACCCATTATTTGATAGTGAACCCATATCCAAAATAAATGATGAGGATGAGAATTAAGAATATTATTAAATTAGAGAGTTTATTAAGATTAATTTTGATGCTTCTCATAATGTTAATGGTTTGTATATAGTTGTTTGTATTGCTAGGGACCGCCTTCGAGCCATTCGGGATTTAAAAGCATTCAAGATCGGATCTACCACAATAAACGTTGCGGAGGCTAGCTTGGGCTGCTTAAGAAGCTCACAATTTTCAAAAGCTCACAATATGGCCCTCAACTTTGGACTCAGCTATTATTATCAAGGGAGACTCGAAGCTCATCATTGATTGCCTGAAGAGATTCGTGGTCGTGTCATGGAGATTAGCAAACATTATTGAATATTGCAAATGTATTAGTGTGCATCTAGTCGGGGGAGTGCGTTACTGTCATGGTTTCATGGAGACAAATCAAGTTGCTGATTGGTTAGCAAGCTTGCAACACTATCTTGGGTAAGCAAGTTTCTCTTACTTGTATGCCATGGCTTCTCGGTTTGTGGGGCCCTTCTAACCTAGGCTTGTGTACCATCTCCTGGTCCTTAAAGAAAAATATGGGTCATGCTGGGTTTGGGTTTTGAGGCTCGTGGGCTAGCACAACACAACATGAAAAATGGGTTAAAAAAAAACATGAAAAAGTGGGTTGTGCTAACACGAGCCATAACATAGTCCATATATATGATAATTATATATATATATATATATATATATATATATATATATATATATATACTATTTTAGTCTAATTATACTGTAAATTTCTTAATTTCATTTTATTATTTCATAAATAAACAATTATATTCAAAAAAATTCATATAAAACAATTATGTATTCTGTCCAGGCTTGTATCATGGACCGTGTCAGACCTGACCTTCACCAAGGCCTACATGCTAGCATGACATGACCTGCTAAACCACAGGCTGCTCGTAAAATCGTGCCATACCAATATAGCATGGCCCAGGAGGAAAAAGGATTAATGGCTCTAACAATCCTTGTATTATGAGAAACCCTTAAATTAATGGAAATGCCAGTTTAGACCCTAAACTTTCAAATAATGCCTCGTGTTAGTGAGCCAGAACACTGAAAATTTGCAAACGAATCCCACTAAATAAAATAAAATATTATTTAATATATAATCACAAATGTTGAAAATAAAATATAAATGGATCCCACATAAAATTCTCTTGACAAAAATAATAGATGAGCCTCACCTTAAATTTTCTTTCTCAAAGAAAAATAATAGGTATGCTCCAGTTGAAATTGTAAGTGGGTCCTCCCTCTCTCTCTCTCTCTCTCCATCATCATCCATCTTCTTCTTCTTCACACTTTCCTCTGCCTTCGTCGCTCGCTGCAACCTAAAGCAGTAGCTCCACCACTTTTCTCTGTCTTTGTCCGCAATCTTACAAGTTATGAGGGAGTGGTCTGATTTACCAGAAGACATCCTACACCTAATAGTTGAAAGGTTAGGCCCCAAGGATTTGAACCAATTTGGCTCTATCTGCAGCTCTTGGAGTTCGGTTTCCCTGCAAACTTGGTTTGAACAACCTCAGCCATGGCTAATGGTTCCCTACCCCAACGGTGAAACAAATGGAGAAACCCAAGGTCTCCTCAGTCTTCCCGACCGCAAGGTTTATAGGCTTGAGTTACCAGAGGTAGTCGACAGAAGAATCTGTGGTTAATTCCTCTCATGGATAGCTAGTAAATGTGCACGAGAATTCAAAAATTCATATATTGTACCCCTTCACAAGGCTACAGTTGCAACTTTCACCTCTGACAACATTTCCGAACGTTGTCGACACATGTCAATTGAAAGAGAGTTCAGGCAATCTCCTCAACTCAGAAGATGAACTTGAAGTTGAATACATTCGCGATTTCTACATAGCGAAAGCCGTCTTGTCTTCAAATCCTACATCTCCAAATGTCTGTATTGTCATGGCCATCCATGGAGAACAGAGGGATTTGGCTTTCTGCAAGCCAGGGGAAGTCATGGACTGTCATAGATGCCCTTTTCATGATGTCATATATTACAAGGGGCAGTTCTATGCCATAAAACATGCAGGAAGAGTTCTAGCTTCTTGGGGTCCATCTCTGCAAGCTGCGATAATGGTTTCACCCTCGAAAGGTGATGGATTTGACAAGAATTATCTGGTGGAGTCATGAGGAGAGTTTTTGAACGTGTCTAGTTTGAGGGTTCGGACAACATACCTCATAAGACAGTATGGTTCAATGTATTATGAATACAAGTTAGATTTCAGTGGACCAAAGTGGGTTGGGGTGACAAACCTGGGCGATCAGATGTTGTTCTTGGGTGATAATACCTCATTGTCTCTCTGTTCATTTGATTTCCTTGGATGGGGAACTGTATCTACTTCATAGACGATAATTCTAGTCTGTGAAGAGGATGTGTATGGGGGACATGATGTGGGTATATTCAAATTGGATGATGGTAGTTTGGATTTTAATCTCATTAGAGATTAAATCTATTGGAGGTTGATTGATCAATTACATAAAAAAATACCTCACACATGTCTTGGGAAATAGTTTTTTCTTCTATTAAAATCAATTTTCAATTTTTCCCACATTGGAAAATTATAAAACTTGTTTTGAGTTTTTAAATAGGAGTTTAGTTACACTCCTTAGAAATAAAGATGAGAGTATGAAGGCTTGCTACCACACAATGCGTGCGCACGATGTGTGCGGCACAATTATAGAACTTGAGTCTGCTAGTATAGTAGGAAGCCTGATGTATGTTATGCTTTGTATTAGACCTGATATTGCATTTGTAGTAACTAAACTTAGTCAGCATTTGTGATTATCCGATTGTACTAGAAGGGTACATTGAAGAAATGGGATTAAAACCCTTCACTTTGTCACTAATAATGGTAACTCAATCTCAACTTAAATTTTTTATATATAATATTATTTATTTCTTATATATAAAATATTTAAATATTTTATATAATTTATATATAATAATTAAATTATATAAATAATTTATATATTATATACTTTATGTAAATAAAATATTTATTCTATATATTTATTTATTAATTACCTAAAATAATTAATTAGTTGAATTTGGATATCGAATTTTTTAATCGGATTCAAATTCGGATATTGTCTAATCTGATTCAAATTCGATCCGTTTACACCCCTAATGAGAACTTGGGTTTGCTCTCGGGATTGTTCATGAGACCAAGAAAAAAACACATGGTCTTAACAGTGCTGAGTACAAAATTTGAAACTTTTGTAGAGACATGACTTTTTTATGTGTATGGGTATCTCCGTTCTGTCTTGAGAGTAATTGGTTTAAGGTCTTATCACCAATAACTTTGACAAGACTCTGAGATATCTATACTAATAGAAGGTTTAAGATATAAAACATCGTTTGTATGTATAACTATGTCATAATAGTTTGAACCGAGAGAGATTTAAAATTTTGACCAATCAAAGTGGGGGATTGTTGGATTTTAATCTCATTAGAGATTAAATTCAATGGAATTTGATTGTTCAATTACATAAAAAAACACATTTGTACATGGGTCGGGCGGCCCGATGGGCCGGCACGGTCCCCGAACGGGCTTGAACAGGTATATAGGCCCGTAAGCTTAACCTTGGGCCAAAAAGCCCAGCCCGCAATAAATTCGTGCGGGCTTGGGATTTGCCAAAATAGCCCGGCCCGACCTATAAATAAACCTAGAAAACCTAGTTGAATACCCCTCTTTTTTTCACCTCTTTCCCTTCTTTTTCCAACCAAATTCTTCTTCTCCACATCCTCTTTCCCTTCTTTATATATATTTTTAATATAAATAAATTTTGAATTTATATATTCTTTTAATGTAAATAAATTCTGATTTATATTGATTATTGAATAGGGAAAATTTCTAATTTTTTTTGTATGTCTTTATGTTAATGATATACTTATTGTGGCTCGCAAAGGGCAGATTTAACTTTTGGTACGAGGTTGACCGTTGATGTTTCACCAGTCACGATTTGATCAGGTGTGAACAAGAGGCACTATTCAAAGTTAACAGTCATTACTACACTTTTAATAGTCACAGTGTTTGAAATTGTGACTGTTCAATGAGCATTTTCTGAACCAACACCTTCCTCTGCTCCATGATTCTTTAGAAATTATTTAAAGAGCGTGAATCAAACAAACACACACAAGTTTTTTGAAATCACTCTTGTCTCTCTCAATTCGATCTATTATTGTCTCACATAAGGTTTCTTCGGAGATTCTTCAACTTTTCTAGTTGCAAATTCTCGCCCAAGACTCTGTTGTATCCTGGGAACATATTTGCCTGTAACCCTAAAGACAATGTCTTCAGACATGCCTAAGGCTTCTCCTCCAAGTTTTAGTGACCCCAATTTCCGATAGATAAGACCATTCAATAGCTCTTCCCTAGTAATACTTGTTGGTGTATCATGCCAAACCAATGTTGTTGGTTTGGATTGTTGCGGGCAGATGAAAACGCAAAGAAGAAGAAGAAGAAGAGAGAGGACCCACTTACAATTTCAAGTGGGATCCATCTATTATTTTTCTCTCTAAAAAGGAAATTTCAAGTGGTGCACACCTATTATTTTTCTCTTAAAAAAGAAAATTTCGAGTGTGACCCACTTAATTATATATTATTTTCAATATTTATGGTTATATATTAAATATTGTTTATTTTATTTAGTGAAATCCACTCGTAATTTTTTTGTTTTTTGAGTTTTTTAAGTTTAATGGTAAAACATCAGCATTTTCTTATCAGCTTGTACGGTTGCTTATTTTTTAAGTTGAAGATCCCTTTTCATTAGCTCCAAGGGCAAAATTGCGTTTTTCGCATAACACAAGTTTTGACATAAGGATGGCAATTTAGCGGAGAGAGATTTCCCAGACCAGAGCTCCATATAAGGCCTAACTTGGGCCCTGGACAGTGTAAACTGTGGTCTCTTACCGTAAACCCTGACAACTTGTTTTTGATGTTTGAGGGTTTAGGGCTGTTCGCATTTTCCTAATTTTTTTATTATTCTATCCAGCGGAATGGAGTTCAAATCTCAGGAAAGATTGGAGTTCTCTATTAGATTCTTCCATCAACAGAGGTAACATTTCATCAAAACTTCTCATTTCTCCCTGAATCATGTTTCTTCTTCTTTGCGCTAGAAAGCTACGCCACGTTAGGAGTGCTGGAGATTTGTCGACTAACCATCTCCATCTGGGTTTTCTTCAAAATGCTTCTCTGAAACGCATCTCAACCTCAACAGATGCTCATTCTTTTACCGTATCCTACCTCATAAACTCATGTGGATTTTCCAAGGAAGCTGCCGTATCTGCATCCAAGTTGGTCCATTTTGAAACCGTGGAGAAACCAGACTCGGTCCTCTCCTTCCTCAGGGATTACGGATTTACCAATTCCCAAATCTCCAAGCTCATCAGAAATCGGCCAACGCTTCTCGTAATTGATCCGGAGAAAATCCTTAAGCCCAAATTTGCCTTCTTTTATTCTGTAGGGTTTTCTCGACCTGACCTTCAAAAGATTCTCTGTCGACACTCGGGTATATTGGCATATAGCTTAAAAAACCAAATTATACCTTCTTTTGAGTATCTTAAGAGCATAGTTCACACAAGCAACAATGTTATCACCGTTCTCAAACGCTTGAGGTGGGCTTTTGAATCGTCTCAACAGAAGCGTATGGACGACAACATCACTATCCTTCGTGATCTTGGTGTGCCTGAACGATTCATCTCCAGCACTGTAAGGACTCACCCTCAGTCATTTTTGAGGCCACTTGATCTGTTCAAGAAGAATGTCAAAGAAATTAAGGACCTTGGGATCGACCCTTCAAAGTTAGCTTTTGCTCGTGCAGTTTCTGTAATGATAAGGATTGGAAAATCAACGAGGGAAAGAAAATTGGATATCTATAAGAGATATGGTTGTTCTGATGATGAGATTACCTCAATGATAAAAAAGCATCCTTATTGTCTGGCGCTTTCGGAGAAGAAGATAATAAGAGCGATCGATTTTCTGATCAACAAAATGGGCTTGGAACCATCATTTATTGCCAAAAACCCAATACTTCTCCATTTTAGCTTGGAGAAGAGGATGATTCCATGGTATTCAATCATACAAGTTTTGCTATCAAAGGGACTTGTTAACAAGGATATCAGCGTGGTTCAAGCTCTCTTGTTAAGTAAGAGTCGTTTCATGAACAAGTTTGTAATTAGATACCAGAAGGAAATTCCACAGCTACTGAAGATATTTGAAGGTGAGATGGACTGCTTAGAACTAATCAAAGGGTCTATGGAAATGGACAGCTGAAGAAGTTTCAGTGAACAAGTTTATAGATTTCTTTAAGACTTTTCAGTCCCCAACGTTTCCCAGTTTCATAACATTCTACTTTTTCTGTTTGTAGTCCATTCATCCAAACCCATAATCCCCTAATCCTGGTGACAGCGGGATTTGATCCCAGGTCTCCGCTACAAACCGCTGAGAACCTTGTCTCCATCTTATTTTTTTTCCTCCAGTTGTCTCAGCTTATTAAATCAGTGAATATAGATGTACTTACCAGTGAACTGGGGGGATTCAATCTTGTCTCCATCTTCCTCACCCCTACCCAAAGATTTGGTAGCAGAACTGCAGAAGAGAAGACGAAGTCCATAAGCATTGTATGCAAAGGACTGTAAGCATTGTATGCAAATGACTGTTTTGTTCCATATATTTGTCAAGCAAGGATCTCAGTGTGATTATAGTTTTGAAATTGAGCAGGGACCTCTTGAAGTTCTTAACCAAGTACCAATAGAAAGTCACGTCTTGAGGAAACCGGTGGGTTGTAAGCATTGTATGCAAAGGACTGTTTTGTTCCATATATTTGTCAAGCAAGGATCTCAGTATGATTATAGTTTTGAAATTGAGTAGGTACCTCTTGAAGTTCTTAACCAAGTACCAATAGAAAGTCACTTGTCTTGAGGAAACCTGTGGGTTGTAGAATTTAGACTGTTTATAGCTTTGAATTGTATCTTCAATTCCCAATTTGATACACATAAGCATATTGATACTTTAAACCATTCTACAGAATCTACAGAGTGGTTTCAATTTATTTTTTTCTAGGGGATAGTATAATTTCATCCATTGATGAGTGTAACTTGTAAAATCATTTCATTGACCTCTGCATCAGGAAAGTATTAGCTCTTAGGATGCAACTATTTGATTATATTCCAGTTTACTGACCTCTACTGCAATAAGCAAAAAGGTAAGCAGAAAACAAGTTTATAAAATTGAATTGCAACTTCAATTTCAAAAAATTTATCATTTGACATAAAAACTGTGGTCTAATTTTGGTGTTTTACAACATGAATGTTTTTACTTTCACTTGTTTTTTAAATTGCCTCATTGGCCAAAAACCAAACACATGTTCTTGAACCTTGTCTTTGTTTGGAGAAGCAAGAACAAGTTGGTTTTGTTCCAAAAACAATTCATGTTTTTGAAATCATCAAAATGTTGGTTTTTAGACAAAAATAACTCTTAGAATACATATATTGTAAAATTACTTTACCTTTTTCCAAAAAAAAAAAATTAAGCCAAAAAAGATCATTCTATTAGGTCATGAAGGTGATGTATGAAGACTCATATTCAGTATATAGGTCTCTTTCAACCCTCTGACAAGATGCATAAGCTAGAGCATGCGTTGGTTGTTTTCTCTATTGACACTCATAATATTTGCATTAAAAAAAAAAAACATACTTAACTAAGTATATACCTAGAATGTGTTTATATTGCCAGAAGAGTCCTGCCTGAGGATGATGGGTTGAATTGACTACTACTGACTACTGAGGCATCAAAAATTCAAAATAGGGCAAAATATTGTTGAGTCTTTGATTTTTTTTTAGCATGCATCAATGCTTCAATGATACCTCCCCATTCAGCTTCTGTTGGTCCAGAGTTTCTGTAAACTTTAGTTACTGTAGCACTTACAAACTAATTAGAATCCACAATAACATAAGATGTTGCTACTACTTCTAAGTGTGGATCATAAGAGCCATCATCATATATGGAGAAAGTATCTGAGGTATTAATTTGTGTGCTCCAATGTTGCTTTAATTGGTCATTGGTGCCTACTATTTCAAAGAAGAGATACGACTTTATTAACTCCAAAATCTGTATTGGCTATAAACAATCATTGTTATGCATGATCTTATTTCTCTGATCCCATATGAGTTTAAGCACAATGACGAATTTTTGCAAGTATAGCATTGCTGCTTACCAGATTTTGAAGGATGATTCAGTTTGATCGACCACCAATTTGAAAATATTTTGTGTAATTCTAAGTTTGTTGTGTCCTCCAGGCTAATGCCTATGTGCAATGGCATCCAAATTGCACAGGATGCAGACAAATCTTCATTAAGGAAATCGAGTCAATCTTTGTTAGAAATGGGAACAAGGGAATCATCAGCTTATTTACAACGTTCATCTTCATCAAATTCTCCTAACAACTTTAATTGGTTGAATAGCATATGGAATTTGAAATGCCCTCCAAAGATAAAAGTATTTCTATTTTTTCTGTTTAATAATAGACTGCCTACTAAAAGCCACCTAAGGAAAAGAGGTCTAAATATTGATGGCTCTTGTAGTTTTGTGGGCTTGAGGAAGATACTACACACACTTTTAAAGTTTGTGTTCACACAAAACAAGTTTGGCTAATTTTAAACACTCCTTTTGAAGGGCCAAAGGAAAATGAAAATCTAAGGGACTGGTGGATAAGAATGTGCACTAAAGAAGAAAGCAAAACTCTTTTCGTCAAGGAAAAACTAGCTTTTATTTTATGGGTGATCTGGAAAAATAGGAACTCCAAAGTACTAATCCCATTCCAATAATTTTAGATAAAGCACTAAATATGTTCATGGAAATCTTTTATGGGAATAAATTCAGTACCTCTATCACTTCTCACAAGAAGTGGAATCAAATTAGTTGGAAAACTCCAAAATATGGTTTTGTTAAGATAAACTTTTATGCCTCTCGCAATAGTGATGGAAAATGTTCGGTGACCCGAATTGTCCGAGACAATTATGGTAAGGTGTTAGTGGTCAAAGCATATAAATTTGGTACTTGTTCCATTAACCAGGCTGAAGAATGGGCGGCATGGGAAGCCCATGTCCTAACTACAAACTATAGGGGGTTTCCTATCATCATCGAAGGAGATTCGTCTCTTGT